CACTGAAAATACAAAACTGAGCAGAACCGTATGTCATCCTTGCCACAGTATAGGGGAGCCGTAATAACTAAACGCAAAGTTGCAATTATAAAGAATGCTCAGAAAAAGAGGAAAATGATGCTATCAGTGCCTCTGTAATAGGGATTTCACCTGATCAGAGAAGCCCTCCCTGAAGCCATACTGCTTAAAATAAGATCTGAAGGGTGAATCAGGATTGGCTAGGAAAACAGGGAAGCAAGAACATCCCAGATAGATAAAATAGTATAGGGGGCTCAGTTGGTTGGAATGTTGTCCCATGCACCAAGAGGTTGAGGGTTTGATTCCCAGTCAGGGCACATATCTAGATTGCGGCTTTGATCCCTGGTTGGGTCATGTACAGGAGACAACTGATTAATATTTCTCTCACATTGATATTTCTCTCTCCCTCCCTCTCCCTCCCTCTCCCAAATCAATAAACATATCCTTGGGAGAACATTAATAAAAATAGTATGTGCAAAGATCCTGTGGCATAAGGGAGCATGGCAAGTACAAGGAACTGAACAAAGGTCAGTGCTGCTAGGGTGCTATGTGAGGAAGAAACTAATAACAGATGGGACTGGAAAGGCCACAGGACCATAGTGCACAGGAGCTCACAAGCCTTGTAAGGAGCTCTGTCTTTATCCTAAGAGTGAAGGGAAAGACTTTGAAGGGTTTTACTCAGATTGAAATTAAAATCAAAAAGATTGCTGTGGCAGCAATGGTGGATGCGGGGAGATAAATTGGAGTGTGCTAGAGTGGGTACATGTAGAGAACTGAGGAATTTTGTTTTAGTCTGAGCAACAGCTGATATCGATTTGGGATAGACTGTAGAGACATGGTAGAGAATCCAGGCAGTAGATGGATTTGAGGGAGATTTAGGAGGCATACTGACAGACAAAGGCGGTGCCTCGCATACGGTAGATGAGGAAGTGAGAGCTGTCAAGAAGGACTCCTAGGTTCTGCTCTGACCCAGGGAGGGGTTGGGGTGCCTTGACCTAAGAGAGAGAATGCTGTGAGATGATCGTGTTCTGCAAGTAGAAGATCATGAGTTTGTCTTTGGGAATTATGAGTCTCTTTTAAAATTCTCTTTTCCTTGACTTCCTTTGCATTGTTTTTGTTAGCGCTCACTTTTTTTTTTTTGGCCACTTCTTCCCCAGCTTCCCACAGGACATCTCTGTGTTCTTTCCCTCCCGCTTCATGTAAGTGTTGGTCTCCTCCGTGGTTCTAACCTGAGCCTCCAGCCTCTTCAATCACTCTGAACCGGTGCTGCCCCATGTGAGGGCCAGTAGGGCTACTGAGCACTTGAAATGTGCCTCTTGCAAATTAAGATGTGCCCTGAGCGTTATATACACATAGGATTTCAAAGACATAGAATTAAAAATAATAAAAATAAAATCATTACTAAGATTGCTATATGATTATCTGTTGAAAGGGTAATATTTTAGATATATTGGGTTGAGTAAAACGTATTATTGCTTTCTCAATGTGGCCACTAGAAAATTTAAAATTACATTTGTGGTTCACTGTGTATTTTTAGCAGATGGAACTGCTCCAGACTGTGACCTATTGTCACCTCACTCCCGTCCACTTGAGCCCACATAACTGCTTACTGTACCCAGAACATTTCAAATCATTTTATGTCTCATATGCTCTCCCCTTCTGGAACTTTTGTTCCTTTTCTTTCCTACCAGATTAGATTTGATTCCTACTTCTTTGTTCAGAGCAAAGATCTCCTCTGCTACATGAAAATGTGCCAATTTCTTAAGGTAGAATGAAACATTTGTGCCTTGGAGCCTCACATGTTCGGTCAATATCTTTAGTATACCTAATTTGCATGCTCGTAGATTGTTTAATGTTCTTTTGTCTGTCCAGCCATGCTGTAGGTGTCTGAGAAGTGTGGTGCAATCCGATTTACATCTGTAGTTATGTACTCGGGTGCTCTCTGTCAGGCTGCTGCTCGAGGCAAGCCTGATGAATAACAACTGAATCTACACATGTTAAACCCATGTGACTGGTTATGACTTAGATGTTTTATGATAGTATCTTGAATCCCCTCAACAACCCTGTAAGGTAAATATAATTATCTTCATTTTGCATATGAGGGCCTTGCAAAAGCTCAAACTGTTAGTAAATTAAAGAGCTAGGATTCAGCTGCAGTGAACAACTCCAAAGCTATGCTCTTTCCTGTGATTTCATACACGCTGAAAAATAGATTTTAAAAAAGGAGATTATATTCCTACATCATAGCGTGGAAAAAATACCTATTTTCTAGGAGTGTTAAAAGATTAAATGAGATACTGTATATAAAGTGTCAAGGCAGTGCTTAGAAATAGTTGGTTTAATTAAACAGTGGTGGTCTTCAATCTTGAGGCCCACAGCACAGAGGTCCTTAGTCTCTGAGGGGGACTGAGGTGGCCCGCCAACTTCTGCGACGGCCCAGCACATGCTCACACACATTCCCACCTATACGCAGGCCAAGAGAAGCAGAGGCCTCCGGGGCACTGCTTTTACCCAATCCTCTTTGTACGTGCCTCTGATGGTTAGAGAGAGTGAAGTAGAAAAATGCGTAGTATTTGTGGCATTCAATCTGTATGTGTGTGTTGGTTAGGGGAGGAGCAAAAATAATAGCAGAAAAGGAATCAGGTCTGGAGTCTTCCTAGGGCTATACCGCTTTGGCAAATTCCTGGAAAATTATTCTGAGTAGCGTGCTGACTCTCCTCGTCCTGTTCTGTCTTACCCAACTGTAGCACTTTACAACCAGGACCACTTTTTTAGCTCCTCAGCAATCTTTGTAGGAAAGGGAAAGGGCAAGCAAGAAAAGGCAAATAATAATTGTAGGCCAACATTGGTCTGCAGGTCCTGTGTTGAGATTCTGGGCTCCTGAGAAATTAACTTAAGCATGTAAAATCCCTCTGTAAGCTTCAGATCTCTGTAATTTCCACAAAAAAGCAATATTAAGACATCTCTCAGTTGCTGCTGGTCCTTGACTAAGGCTAAAGGGAGCTTTTGGGTTCAAGAGTAAGACAGTTACTCCTCCTTTTGATTCTCCTGGTTTACACATTTCAAGGTAATGACTGAACCAACCTCTTGTGCAGAGCCAGAGGAAACTTTCACACCAACCTGTGCTCTTGTTTGTTTCAGATCAAGCATACAGGCAAGTACTAAGTAGGATAGAGCTTCCATAACTTAAAGAAATTTAAACTCTCTTCCAAAAATAATATATGTATTATTTAATATAATATTTAAGAGTCTTCTGATCCATTACAGAACCAATCTACATATATAGAGACAGGGAATAAATAGAATAAGGGAATTTAGGGCCTGTTGTTTTTGTTATTGTTAATTATTATTATTATTTTAATGGTATGTTTATCTCTCAAACTAGTCTTCGAGTTGAAGGACTATGTCTTAAACATCTCTGTATTTATGTCATTACTCCCCTCATAGCAAGTACTGTACTTGGTGTTTATTTACTGAGTAATAGAAACAGACACCCACGTGCAGTATGTAATTGACAAGGAGATTCCAGCTTGAGTGGACAGCACAAGACGCTGTAAGGAAAAGAGTTTCTTTGAAGTAAAAACCTAGGAAACTGAACATTCCCTAGCACTTAAATCAAACTTTGAGATTAAGAGAACAACTTGCCCTGGCTCGTGTGGCTCAGTTCACTGGAGTCTCGTCCCCTAAGCGAAAGGTTGCTGGTTTGATTCTGGGTTGCAGGTTTGATCCCAGGTCTGGGCGCATGTGATCCGCAGTCTGGGCATGTAGGAGAGGCAACCAATTGATGTTTCTCTCTCCCTTCCTCTCCCGCTTCCACTTTCTCTAAAAGCAATGAAAAAATGTCCTTAGGCAAGGATTAAAAAAGGGAAAAAGAAAACAAATTTATTAAATTTAGGGGGAACTTTTAATCTGATATTATAGAGAGAGAAATTGCATGGCCAAGAACATGTGAAAAATAACAATGGCAATGACCTGTGCAATGTATGAGCTTGATGCTATCATTCAGTTCTATAATGGCCTGAATTCTGCACTAGGCCTGCTACAGAGTAGGCAGCATTAGTTGCAAATTAACAGACAGCTTGACTAATAATGATTTAATCATGAGAACTCTTTTTGTTGATTAAACAGAATGTTTGAAGGTAGGTAGAACCTCAGTAGCTTATCGAGGTTCTCCAAGAGTCAGAAAGGCTCTTTTAAACTTTTTCTGCATCGTCCTCTTCAACTGTTGGCATTCGTCTGAGAAGTTGTTGCCTTGTGGCTGTAAGATAGCTATTACAGCTCCAAGTAGGAAGTAAGAGCCAGAGGCAAAATGTTTCACTGTACATTCAATTAGATCCCTACGTTTTGTCAGAACTGGCCAGGACCAACCTAGAATAACCAGTGGCAAAGGGAAGAGAGACTCTAGATTTGCATTAGACCAATTATCATTCATTCTATACCCCTTAGGTCAAAGAATAGTTTCACAGGGCCTGAATAGGTCAGAGTTTTAACAGCAAGGAAGGACAGAGGGTAGAGCATCATCACTGGGTAGAAAATAAAATGTATCTGCCAGAAATACTTAATGAAGATTTGTTAAATTAACAAAGTGAGGGCTGCATTATAACTTTCGTGGATCCTAAAAACTTTGTAGGTCTCTTCCTCCAAAAACTAGGTTAAAAATAGCGTTTTACAACTGAGTTGATATAAGACAAAATCCAGACTGAATTTGTTGTCATGTATTCATTCTTATTATGTTTAATTCTGATTTTAAAAATGAAAATTGAAATGCTTTTGTCAGCTCCAAATACTGTGCCTGCAATGCCCAGTGTAGAATTCCACACTGGGTCTATGTTGTGTTTCCAGCTGGCGTGTAAACTCGAGGGTAGCGACTGCATACTAAGTTTCATTGTTGCCCTCAACAACCTGTCACACCACTATGAATCTAAGAGCTGCTCAACAAATGTTACTGAGTTGAGCTAACATGTCACCGTTTTTTCCTCTAGGGTGACCCAGGTCCTCCTGGTCCTTATGGTCCTCCAGGAGTCCCGGGTGTTGGACAACAAGGTATTAAGGTAAAGATCCTTGTCTCTTTGGCCATTGATGACTTTTTGAATTTATTGTAGGGGCTGGGTGAGCTGTGGTTTAAACTCTGCTCAGCCTCACCCTCAAAGATACAAAGAGGCTGCTTGCAGAAGTTACTTATAGTCTGGATGCATGGACACTGAGTGCCCTGGTGAGGGGCAGTTACCACAAGAATAATCAATGCATTTTGTTATTTGTTTGGAATGAAAAATTAGCTTGTGTTCAAATACCCACCCTCTTTTCAATGTACATCTGGTTCTGTTGAGTTTTCATGGACTTGGGATGCTAACATGCAAAATGTTATTGATATGAGAAACACCTTCACACATCAGCTATCACCTGCTCACATTAAAGAAGCCTACAGGGACAGTAACCAGAAGAACCACGACACTGAGAAGTAAATGCTGACAGAAAGGTCCATAGGGAGGCTAGAAAGGACTAGAACACTAACAGCCTGGGTCCCCTGCATCATGCAGGATGTAATAGAGCAGAGTGCTTATTTTAAATGGATTGTCTATGTCATTGGGACAAAAAGATGTTGATGCAGGACTAAGGTAGAGAGCAGTTCGAAACAGTGCACTTTGTCACCAAGCGTCACCACAGATGGCATTTGCATAACAGCACATTGAGACTTCAGGGAAGTTGGAGTTTACATTGGCAGAAATCCTCGAGAAGGGCTCTGAGGAGACCAAGTGTGAAACAGAACTGAAAGGAGACATGACAGGGAGGAGAGTGGGGGCGGGGAAAGGGCAGGGTTCCAGGGCAGGGGCCGGGGGCCAGGGCAGCATGAGCATCGTCGGCATGGTCCTCTTGGGGAGCAAAATGAATCACGCACAGTCCATCCTGCCAGTTACTACACAGGGGTTTCTGAAAGCTGGCAGTGCCTATTGCATTTAGAAAGGAAGGGATGCTGAATGTTTTAGGGTGATTTGTTCACTGAGATTCAAGCCATTTCTCCTCCTCCCGATTTTTTTTTTTAATCTTTAAGAACGAGACAAGTATGGCTGCTTTGCTATTTCTTGTTATTGAAATCTTTAGAGTATTTTGTGCTATGTTTCTTTGTTGTTTAAAAGCTCAAACTTTCATTTGATTATTTCTTTCTCTTAGGGAGAGAGAGGCCAGGAAGGAAGAACAGGGGCTCCGGGACCAATCGGCATTGGTGAGCCAGGCCAGCCAGTAAGTAACTAGCAATTCTAGATGGAATAGGAAGGGCAAATACAGTACTTAGGTGCTCCTTCTGGTTAGAATAAATGGTTCCATTAATCCATCGTGTATCTTTTTGGACAACTAAAGATAACAAATATGCAAGAACCAAATGCAAGTGTTGTTTTCCATAATACGTGAAACAGGGACACACACACGATATATCCAGCTGGCTCTCCCTGTGATCTCTTACAAGATTAATCAGCTTGTTCAAGAAAAAAGAGTTCTTATGTGTCAAAAATTTCCTGGGAAATATGAGATCTGGATTCAGGTCTAATGCCTGTACTTTGTAATTTACTTTCCTTCAACCATGAGAAATTCATGACAATGAGGACTTTACTTATTACCTAATCAGTGAGCATACTCTAAGGCTAGTGTTAATGATGGTAGAGAGACCATACCTGTGTTATTTGCGGAGGTATGGAAAAGAAAAAAATATTTCTATCAAAAGAGATCTGAAGAGGAAATGAATAAAACATGACCATTCTAGTATGAAAAGCTTCTTAACTTTTCAGGTAATCATTCTCCTAGCAAAGAACAGTAGCTGACTCACTGGGGTACAAATGAAAACATGGTTCTTCTCCCAATTTTGTTTTGCATTGCATAGTTCCTCATATGTAAATGGCAACAGAAAATTGCATAGTTCCTCATATGTAAATGGTAACAGAAACATGTGCTTCCTGGCTGCACTCTGTGAGTGAAATGGGAGCATATCGCTTGAGGGTTAGGCCTTTCACTAACGCCTGCATGCACTAATTCAAAACCGAACACATTTTATGGAGAAAAGATACACTGGACTTGTTATCTAGAGATCAGTGGTCACATCGCAGTTTCTACTAATGAGACAGTGGCCCTAACGGTAAACTGCTGACAGAGAAGTCAGCTTTCTTGCAGACACTGCTGGTTGTTCACTGGAGAGGCTGGAAACTCAGAAGGCTGGAAGGACACCAGCTAGAAAGAAAGACGCAGGCACATACAGATTTTGCCATGTGTACAGGGAGTACAGCAGAGTATCCGATAATTTTTTAACAAAAATAAACAAGAATGTTTTCATAATGCTCTGAATAAGTGAGACCAAAAATGAGGTGAATCAATAAATTTTTAAAAATAGTTTGCTAAAAAATAGAGAAGAATTTAGTAAACTTCTACCAGGTAGACACATCTTAATATTTTGCTACATTAACTTTAGATTTTCTTAAAAAAACATAAAACATGGATACAGTCAAGTTTACCTAATCTCTTCCAGAAAATAGAAGAGGAAAGAACATTTCCCAACTTTTATAACCAAACAATGACAATACAGAAAAAGAAAACCATAGAACAATATCCCTCATGAATCTAGATACAAACATCCTTAACAAAATATTGGCAAATAGAATTCAGTAATATATAAGAACAATTATATAGCATGATCAAATGGGGGTCATTCCTGGATGCAAAACTGATTTAATAATTGAAAATTAATTAACATATCATATTAATAGGCTAAAAATTACACATAAAAAGAAACAGAAAAGCACTCACAAAACTTAAAATTCAAAACCCTCATAAACTCTGAAAGAAACTATCAGAAACTAGAAATAAAACTTCAACTTCTACAAAAAAAGAGAAGAAAACAAACAAAAAAAAACCCCTGCAGCTAACATTACACTCCACAGTTGAATGGTAAAATCAATAACAAGACAAAGATTTCTGCTTTCACCAATCTTATTCAGTGTAGTGTTAGAAGTCTTAGCCAGTACAATAAGGCAACAAGAGGAAACAAAAGGCATATAGATCAAAAAGAACTAAAGCTGTTCCTATTTACAGATGACATAATGATGTTCATAGAAAATCCCCAGAAATCTATATCAAATCTCCTAGAATTAACAGATGAGTTTATTAAGGTCATAAGATGCAAGCAGAACAAAACAAAATCAATTTTATTTCTATATTCTTGTAACAAATACAAAAACCTCCATCTTTAATTACATTATTACCACTCATTTCGTGCTCGTCTCAGATGACTGATTCATAAAAAGTAAATTGATTTTAGATTCTCAGGGTGATCTGTTTATTTTTTGTGCAAGGTTATTCAGAGCACCATCAGTAAGAAAAATACTCCCTGAGGTAGAAATGTAATTACTTTTAGGTTAAAAATAAAGTACATGGCATGTGTGAATATTATAGACAATTTTTATTATTATTTAGTATATTTATTTTTAATGTTTGCAATGTATATTAAAAACCACTTTATTGATTATCTACACTATTAAGATTATTAAGGAAAGTAATAAAGTAATGGATAATTACATTTTATCTTGCTAATGTCTCAAATAAAGCATTTTACTGACCAGACAGGGTTAACTGATAATTAGGTTCCTCCATTAAATTTTTTTTATTAGATGTGTTCATTAGACCCCAGATAAGTATGTCATAGTTGTAAGTGATTCTCATGACCTTTGAAAAAGACAGTTTTTTTATAGAATCATTTCTGTCTTAAAAAAATGATCTGTTGGTACTGTGTTCATAAATTAAAAATATATTGGGTTGGCCAAAATGTTCGTTGGTTTTTTTCTTCCTCCTAAGATGAATCTAGTAGTGCTTAATTGTCTTTAATTTCATTTGAAATAATTTTGTTAGATTGTATTGTGACAGCTGTCATATCAGCATGCATTTAAAAAAAAAATCAGGAGCTCCAGTAGCACAATCAGTTAGTACACGGTACTTATAAAAAAACACAATCAAAATTGGTGACTTTTTGTGTAGCCATTTTAATATTGAAGATGGAAGAAAATAAGCAACATTTTCAGCATATTATGCGTTATTATTTCAAAAAAGGTAAAAACAATACTGAAATGCAAAAAAAAAAAAAGAAAGAAAAAATTTGTGCAGCATCCAGAGAAGGTGTTATGGCTGATTCAACACGTCAGAGTGGTTTGTGAAGTTTTGCGCTGGAGGTTTCTTGCTGAACGATGCTCCATGATCTGGGTAGGCCAGTTGAAGTTGATAGTGATCAAATCAAAACATTGATTGAGAACAATCAATGTTATACTACATGGGAAATAACTGACATACTCAAAATATCCAAATCAATAAAGTTATTGGTGGAAATGAAAAATGTGTCTTTTATTTTATGGAAAAAACTAAACGGACTTTTTGGCTAACAGAATAGTTCCTCTAACTCAAGTGCCAGCTTTTTCTCTTTGGTTAACAGTTGATCATCTCCTATCCTGACTGCTCAACTAGAAAACTTGAGAACATGCTGGTGGTGTGGAATATTGCTCTGACAGTTTACAGGAATTGGACGTTGGCTCTCTATTTCTAAAAGCATTCCTAAGTGATTGCTCATCACCATTAACTCTCTGTTCTCAGCAGTTTGGAACACATGGCTCCTGAAAGCCTCTATTATTTTCACTTTAACCTTAGCTGATGTATTCTAGAAATTCAGAGACAGAAGGAAAAATGTTCAGTGTTTATTCTGTACAGCATGCCTCTCTCAGTATGTAAAAATCAGTGATTCATCCTGAGACTAACTTCTTTGTAAAAATGTCCATAAAAAGACATTTGTAGCCACCACAGGAATCAAGTAAAATAATTTTGATAGCGATAGCAGATGTATTGAATTCTTATTATGAAAAAGCTTTAAATCTCTATGACTTAATTCTTACATTAATACTTAAGTTTGAGGTAGGTACTATTGTTACCACCACTGTGATGAATTTCCTGAGCTTTAAAGAGATTAAGTTATTGTGTAAGGCCACTCTGATAATACTTGAACCTCAAAGTGTCAGTTCAAATGACACCAAAATCTGCTTTTAATTATCATGATAGACTATAAAGTCCATGAGACAGAAAGCAGGTCAGTCTGTTCTTCTTGGAACCTAGTACAGAAATTGTACCTACTAAGCATTTGGTAAATATTTGTTGAATGAATGAAAAAAATGAATAAACTGGAAAATAGACTTCTTGGCATTTAATATAAATTGCGTTATTTTTAATTGTCATGTCATTGGGGAATAAGATAATTGGTTGATTTTGTTTTGTTAGAGTGTGTAATGTTAGCTAGATATTGCTGTCTAGTTTGCAATCTAGTTTTCATTCTCACATTTATTTTCCTCCTCATTAATTGTTCTAGCATTAGAATAAGCGGTCATGAATACCAATGCTTTGATTAAGGACTCTGATTGTTTAAAACTAGGTTTTCCTGCCCTGGCTGGGTGGTTCAGTTGGTTAGAATGTCATCCTATACACACAAGTTTGCAGGTTCTATCTCAGGTCAGGGCACACACCTGAGTTGAGGGTTTGATCCCCAGTCGGGGTGCTATGGGAGTAAACTGATTGATGTTTCTCTCTCTTCCTTTCTCTCTAAAGTCAATAAACATATTTACATCGATGTTTCTCTCTCCTTCTCCCTCTCTAAAATCAATAAACACATTCTTGGGAAAGGATCAGAACCAAACAAAAGCAAAAAACCTAGGTTTTCCCATAAACATAGCAATTTAAATCGAATTAAATGGTAGCTTTTTATTTTAATTAAAGTCTTTACTAAATTGGCTATGCATAAACACTAAAGGAGTTTGTCTTTTCAAATATACCATATGAGGGAAACACAAAATAAGAAAAAGGGACACCGAGACCCAGTTCTCGTCAGCTTCCTTGCAACCTCTTTTCCTTACAAATCCGTAAGTAACTGCGCCCAGTCGCTGTGAGCATATTGCTCCGCCCTGGTTCCCCTTCCAGGCTTGAGGAGGAAGCACCCCTTCCGCTACCCTGGTGGCTGCACACCCCGCCCCGAGGTCGGTCCAAGGCGGCAGGGCGCAGGCTTCGGAGCCTCGGGGCACTCCTGTCACGGGGGTGCTTCCCTGGCAAGGGAGTCCTCATTATCTTTTCAGGTCCCTTCAAGGAAAAGCTCCAGTTTGTGCTTCTAAGTTCCCTGTTGTTAGCTGCTTTTCTACTTTTTGGCCTGCTGGCCAAGAAGAACAAGAGGGAAAATTTGCAGCCTTTTAAAACTCCTACTGTTTAAGTGAATACGTTACTGTTGTCTTATATTTCAAATAATACATTTTCTGCCAGTCTGTTTCAAAGCCAGAGACTGTGTTTTCTTCCCTGAGGAAAGTTCTCACCTTTCCTAGTGCCTTTCTAAGCAATAGTTACATGGACTTCTTAATTTTAATTAATGCTTCCCTAGGTAATTCTATCAAGATTTCTGTTTACACATAAATTTCCAGTAGATTCAACTAATTCTTGAAAGTATTCAAGTTTGAATCCAAATGTATGATAGAAGTTAAAAACATGTAAATAAAAGTCAGTGTTTTAAAACAGCTAGTGATTTCTTCATGAGGTTCCCCTCATAATTACATTATTAAATTACCCTGCATCCTTCCCCAGGCCCTAAAATCCTAGATCTTAGCCTTTCCTCACAGGATTTATTTTCTATACCTTATTCTGATGTATCGCTTAATTTCCATCTTCCACTAACTTGAGGACGCCAGAGTAGAACATCGTATACCAACCAAGTGAAACAAGTATTTAGTACAATGGGAATGAGTCTTCACAACTTTATAATTCTACTGATTAGTGTGACACTTACTAGAAGGATTCTTACTAATGACTCAAGTAGGACTCTATCATTGCTATGCCCATGTGAACTGCAATATAACCATTTTCTTTCTTCCTCCCTCCTCTCCTCCCTTCCGCTCCCCTCTTCCCATATCCTTTTTCTCTCTTCTCCTCCTCTTCATTTCCTTTTATCTTACCCAGGGTCCCCGTGGTCCTGAGGGAGCACCAGGAGAGAGAGGCTTACCGGGAGAAGGATTTCCAGGACCAAAGGTAACAATACCTTCTGTAGAATGAAAAAGTGCTTTGTCCTGCATAGTCATCAAACACAAATTTTTAAAAATGTGTCCAATTATCAAAAGTCAAGTATTTTTATCACCAACTTTGCCCTATTAAATGAAGGGGGAAATTTTCCCTTAACATGAAACTACAGTGACTTTTATAATCATAAATAAGTAATTGACATATTTCTACTTTATATAATTATTGCTTATGCAATTAAACAAATCTCTTAGCCTGTAGTCATAAAGCCACAGGGATATCTTTATGCCTACTAGTTAAGCCACAGAGTATAGCTATAACAAAGCTTTACTCACAGGTTTGTTTTGTGAAATATAGATATGAAACAGTCTAGTAAACCAATTTATAACAGTATTTCTATTAATATTGAATATACTAAAAAGGAAAATGTGGTTGTGAATGGGGAACTGGAATTACCTTATTACCATAAGGAATAATTAAGAATTTAATCGTTTCCATTGCTTTCCACACATAATTCTCGGATTTCACATTCCTCTAGACCAGGGGTTGGCAAACTTTTCCTGTAAAGGTCCAGATAGTAAATATTTTAGGTTTTGTGAACCACATGGCACTGTTGAAACTACTTAACTCTGCTGTTGTAGCATGAATGCAGCCATAAACTACGTAGTAGAAATGAACGAGCATGGCTGTGTTCCCACAAAGCTGTATTCACAAAACACAAGCTGCATGTGGCCATTGGGCTATAGTTTGCTGATTCCTTGTCTAGTCTGTTTTCTTATCATCTACATAACATTTGCCAAAGGCCCCATAGGAAATGATTTTCCAAGATACTTTGGGCAGCATCAATAAAACTTCAGAGTTAGTGAGGATAGATTTTCGACTCTTTTTTCTTTCTTTTCTAAAGTCTTTCTCCCAACGCACATATACACACTGCCCAGAGAAGAACATGCTCTCTTCTAAGTGACTAAGACCTTCCACCGCATTCAGTCAGGTCACTGAGTTCTGACCTTCACTGTACAGCCTCATGCTCAAAGATTGCATCTCATTCTTAGCCTCTTCCATCATGAAATATTCAAAGATCCATGAGAAAACTGAATCTCAGCTAGTGGGAAATTAATTAGCTAAAACAAACAATTCATACTAAGTTTTCAGTGACTGCTGGCTTGAATTTTCAGAGAGGCCCCTTTATGACAAAATAAATTTGTCATAATAAATGGAAATAATATCAATATGTTAGATAAAGGGGACATTACTAATGCCCTTCAATAACCAAAATGTCTCTATCATATATAGAGGATAGCAATTTGGTACTACATTTCAGAAAGATTTATAATACTTAGTTTCTTGAATTATTTTTTTGGTTAATTTCTATTTATATGTAGTCCAAACAACTTGGAAAATTTAAATAGCTAGAATTATTTCTCTCTATAATCTCTTTTCTAAAGATAAATAAATAAATGAGAGATTAATATGTGAAACACTAAGAAGGCATATAGGAGAGCATGTCTTAGTGACAAGTTCAACTGTATGATATAATGATGCACTCTTGTTCATAATAAGCCATGGCAGTGCATTGCCCTCTAGCTCATCAAAGAAAGGACACACTATATTCAGTGTTGTTTTAGGGTCAACTGCATGAATTATATCCTATGGAAATGATCAGAAGAACTCACTGTTCAGAATAATTTACAGCCCAACCAGTAGGACCAATGGGAGTTTTCTGTATGTGCTACTTGGAGCTGCTTTGCAATGATGTAGGGCTTAAGGGAATATATCATGAATAGAGAGAGACACAAAGATATATTTCCCTGTTTCCTAGGTTTCTTGCAAACGCCCTTTGATTTTATTCTTGGTTCAAATAAATTCATGAAATGAATGCTATTTCTCATTGCTTGTATGGTTTATTTTTCATACTTATGCAGTGTTATGACTTCACTGATATTACATTACGATTAGAGTTATTCACATAGGTCATGTGATTAGATCCCCCCCAAATTTACATTTTTAAAACTAAATTTTCAATGAATATTTATAAATTCTGATATTAAACCTTTAATAAATAATTTAACCCTAGCAAGTATTAGTTCATATGCTAATATGAGTGACACAGTTTCATTGTGAGGTTGCAGCAGTGTTGGGGGAATGGAGGACTGATTCAGTTAGATGTGCTATGTGATTGATTAGGTCCCCCATCTCTGGATAGTTCTGATTATATTGGGAATAGAGCTTTTTTACAACTTTAGTCATATTGCATATGTGTTAGCTTGGACAGAGTCCTTCCTATTTAAATGTTAAGACTAAATTTTTTTTTTTGCAAGTTACAAATCTCAGAGTCAGAATTACCCATTTGCAATGATCAGTGAATTTGGTTGCTTTGAATGCTTTAACTGTTTTAAAATCCTGATTTTTATTAGTGCACTGATGTCTCTCCTGCATACTTTCAGGGTGAAAAAGGTTCTGAAGGACCAATTGGCCCACAAGGATTACAAGGTCTGTCAATCAAAGGAGACAAGGTACTGCATATAGGGAATATAATAGAAGAAATGCCAACAAAGTTATTTTTAATATTTTTCATTATGTATGTACATTTATGAACTGTATACAACCTGATAACCATACCACACAGGTGTCAACTTAATTCAAAATTAAGTATATGCAAGGTATATTATCATATAAGATAAATTGTGATCTTGAAATTCCCATACTGTATATTTATAGTAAGGCCTTGTTTGAGTTCTGACTTCCAGTTACCCTGTCTTCAGCCAAGCAGCTTTGAGGCCAAACATTAGCAAAAGAGACCTCTGCTTAGTAAAGCAAATAGCTGTTAAAAAACCTGACTTGACCTCATTACAGAAGCAGATATCCACCCTGAGGCTCCCATTCAAAAATATTGCCTTAAAATGGGGCTGAAATAAGACAGCTCATTTCAGAAAAGTACCACTGATGCCCTCCAGCAAGGATCAACAGGAGTCCACCTATAGTTGAACAAATTTAGGTCTATCAACTCATGGCAGTGAGAGACCCCATGCCATGAGGAATCTATCACAACTCAGTAAGAAGATGCAAGATTTTTTTGTAGGATTTGGGGTTCTAGGAGGTGATTTGGGCACATATTAGGTGACATGGATGCTATAGGGAAGTGAGGGTAATTTTACGTTTGGGCATTTTAATGACTCTTTCCTAGGAGGTGAGAAAAACAGAGCCAGGCTTAGTTGTAATTGGTAAAGAAGTAGCACTTACTCATTTTAGCCAGTATAGGGGAACATTTGATCATTTTCGAGGGGTTTGGACATTGTTTTTTGTTTTTGTCTGTGCTCAGGCATGACTATGGTGAGGTCTTGCTTTTGTCTTGCCTGCTTGACCGCACAGAATGGCCATGTCGGACGCTGGTGTTCTGAAAAATTGTTTATATTCAACATCATGGCCTACCTTCCATTGCTTTCTTCTTTCTTACTAGTTATGTGTGCTCTTTAAAACAGCTGCAAATTATTATACCCAGATTAGAAGCAGGGGTGAAGTCAGTGATAGTAGCTACTGGCGGCTGTTAAGTACCAGTGGGAAGGGAAAAACAGTGCCAGAGGGGGAAGGGATATAAAAATGTAGGAAAAACAGAGACCTTTTATCAGTATGGAGTCATTTATATGTGAATCTCTAAGCATATCATTATGTTATATATTATATTAGAATAATGATTGATATTCAAGACTAAATTAGGTGTTGTGTTTAAGTCTTGAATTGCCTATTTTTTTTATTAACTTGCAGCTGTCTCTTCTGGGAATCTGTATTTAAATAGCAGAGATAGTGGTAAATAGTGACGTATACAAATTTTAGGTGTAATAAAATTCTTGGTTGTAACTTCAGCTCCAAAATACTCTAAAATTATGTAATATGTTCTTCATTACTTTGGAGCAGTGAAAATTGAGTACAACTGAATCTTTTTTTTAATGTGTTCAGTAAATTAGCTTTTTAAAGTATTGTTGACATTGCATTTTTATTTTTACACCTGGAGCTCATGCAAAGAAAACACATCAAAATATTGGGACATTATCACAGAGTAATTGCAAAGCCTTCATCTGCTATTCCCTTATCAAATCAACACTGACTTCCTTTTCCCTTCCCCCTTTCTTCCTTTTCTATTCTTTTATACATTAGATTCGGAGGCTTTGTTATCTGTGCTTCAGGTGGTGAGATAAATACCTCTATGTTAAGGGCTCTCAAATGCATGTAATTGGTTCAAAAAAGAAGTAGTTTTGATATATATATTAAAATGCAAATAACAATGCACAAAAGATCTCTCTCATGGGCATGTTGAATATTTGCAGAATAGTGGTTATGAGTTGGGTTCTGGGGTCAGAGAGAGTGGACTTGAATCTTCCCTCCACCATCTGACACCTGTCGTGTAACTGGGGTGTTACTTAACCTCATCTGGAAAACGGGAATGCCTACTTTCTGAAGGTGGTTGTAAGGATTCAGTGAAATAAAGTATGAAAAGCATTTAGCACAGTGCCTGCTGCAGGGTAAGCAATCAAGTAATGAATCAGAAGAATCCAGTTCTGAATTAGGACTTTGTTAACAATTTCCTTCCATGATGTTTCCTTAGACTGGGGATTGATACAAAGTGAAACACTAAAAAGCATATTCCAGGGCATATTTTAGTGACAGGTTCAACATACTTTTTAATATTACACGTAGTCTATTGATAAACTTGTGTTCATAAAAATGCGTTTGGCCCAGGAATTGGCACACTATGGGGCTGGCCACCTGTTTTTGTAAATAAAGTGTTACTAGAACACAGGTATGCCTGCTCAGTTATGTATGGCCTGCGGCTGCTTCCACTACCAAAGCAGCAGGAAGTAGTTACAAAAGACCCCTTATTATGCCCTCAGGCATCAAATATTTGATGAAAGACACAAAGAATGGATGAATGGTATTGTTCTTCTTAGTGATAACATTCATTTTGTTTCCCAAATGTATTTCATGGAAGGGAGAAGTAAGGTTTTTTAATTTTATGGTATTTAACTTAGATAATTTCTTAATTTTCAAAATACATTTTTAATAAGATTTGGAAGGAAAAGGTATTTAGAAAATTTTAAAACATTTTTCTTCAATTTCTTTCTCAAATCCTGGTTTCCTTGTACTCTCTGAATTTTATACTTTTAAATATTTCTGTTATGATCCTAACAGAAGGTGTTTGTGTCATAATAACCGTACGGGAAATGTTGGTTCTTGTGAGAAAAATGACTGATAAATATACACTGGTGCAAACTCTCACCAATGTAGACTAAACAGTAAAGACATCGTTAACTATTTTGACAAATTTGAAATAAACTTTAAAAGGAATAGAGTTTGCTAACTCTCAATATTGAACTTTTATATGATGTAAAGATAGATTTTAATCTAGCATACTTCCATATTAGTGAAGTATGAAAGAATAAAGTTTCATTTTATGGTCATATGTTTGATTTACTGTCTCTACAGGGGGATTTGGGACCTGTGGGACCCCAAGGACCAATGGGCGTCCCTGGAATTGGGAGTCAAGGGGAACAGGTAATCAGTGATTTCACCCTTTCCCTAAAATACAGAATAACTGGCCCAATCCGGATGTTCAATGAAGGCCAGTCTTGCAAGCATCACTGAGTATATTTGATAGTCAAATTGCAATGGGATTCATATCCAAAATGAATATAGGGAAGGATAAGATGGTTTCATGAGATCTTATTTTTTAGAATTTCCAAGACTTAAAAAAGAATAGCATGTTTTTCAGTGCTGTAACATTTTCTTTTTTTTTATATACTCACCTGAGGACATTGTTTATTAATTTTACAGAGAGGGGGAGGAAGGGAGAGGGAGGGAGAGAAACAGCGACATGAGAGAAACATCAATCCATTGCCTCTCCTACCTATGTGCCCCAACAGGGGACCTGAACTCATTACCAAGAGTGTGGTCTTACCTGGAGTTGAACCTGTGACCTTTCTGTTGATAGGATGATGCTCCAACCAACTGAGCTGCACTGGCCAGGGCTTGGTGCTGTAACTTTTTAATATTAAAGTCTAATGAATAGGATAAGAGTTTGGGGATAGTATTTTATATTTCCAGCATCCCTTGGAGCAGTACTTTATTTACCTTTTGGTTTGTGTGTTTATTTTTCCCCCTTACAGCTTTGAGAGTGATTAAAGCCCACTCTCTCCCAATGCCAGCAGGGTAGTACTTCCCACCCCTAGCCAGGTACCAACCTAAAAAAGTATGAAATTTAAAGCAAGGTCCAGAATCAGAAGTAACTACTTAATTTTAAGGGGCACCATTCCTGAACAGACACAAGCCACAAATACAGTTTACAAATTATCCTTGTCGCCTTTTGGTCAGAAGAAAAATCTCTTAGCTTGCCTCTACATTCATGACAGATTTCTTTTGAAATCTGACCAGAGCTCTTGGAAAGCTGGGTAATCTTGTTAGATCTAAGTAATATGAAGGTAACATAACAGTACCATCTAGAGTTGTTGTTGACCATATGCTTTTACCTACAATATCTTATTTAATCAAGTGACCAGTAAATCCAAATTTATGCTGAACACCCTCCTGCATGGAAAAAGACAAATCGGCTTGATTAAAATTTATGATTAAGGTTTGAATTATTCTGTTGGCTTAGAGAATGAACAGTGTTTCCTTTATCTAGGATAGTGGGAGAAGAAAAGGATTAAAGAAAAAGGAAATAATTTTTCATTTGGCTTTTTGTTGCCATGAACTCTGAGTTTATTTCTAACCATCTTCTAATTAATTAGTATATTTTTATTGTTGTTAATCCAAGCAACAGGAAAGTTGGAGTTACTCCTTTTTCCTTTTTCTTGGTAGAGGGCCTAGTGTCATAAGGATTAAGGTGCAAGAGAAGCCAAAATAAATCTGTAAATAAATATTTAGATGATAATTAAGAGCTGGATATTCTCAAGCTTTGTAGTTTGCTTACTTTCTGATCCCAGAAGTGGCTGGACAGGACTGTCACATCCTCGGCCTTGTGGTGTTTGTGGGGCTGAGTCACCACTAAAGGCTGAAAACGAGGTTCAAAGACAGCCAACTCTTCCCAGATGGACTGGGAATTCTGGACCTCCCACCTGTGGCTTCCTGTTGCCTTTAATGCTGTTTCTTCCTGGAGGTTGTTTTCCTTTAACTTAAAAGCACCCTCAAACCTCCTTGATTTCCTTTGTTTTCTCATCCCCTTCTGTTCTTTTCCAAGGGAAAAAACACTCTTAAGCTAGACATGTCCATGTGGAGCTGAGCCCTAATGGATGGGGGACTGAATGGAATGTGTTATTTGTCAACTCCTCTGAACAGGGAAAAAATTTGTTGATCCTCCTAAGACAAATGATCTAAAATCTATTTAAATTTAACCTTAATCCATGCAGTTATTAATTTTTCTTCTTATTCTTAATTTAACATGTTTATCCATTGACTTCCTGATATTGTTAGATCTTATATTTCTCTCGTAGAAATGGATTTTCCTATTCTTCTGTTTATGAGAAAGCTTCTGTTTCCATTTCCAGCAACAAGTATGTAATATCCTTTAAGTGGACTGTAGGTCTTTGTTAAATATTTAAAGACCTGACACCTCAAATCGTTTTGTTTTTTTTTTTATCCTCACCTGAGGATAAGTTTATTGATTTTAAAAAGAGAGAGGGAGGAAGGAGAGAGACAGAGATAGCATCCAACGTGAGAGAGAAACATCAGTTGGTTGCCTTTTGCACGTGCCCCTACCGGGGGTCAAACCCACAAGCTAGGTATGTGCCCTTGACCAGGAATTGAACCTACAACTTTTGGTATAGGGGACGACGGTCCATCTGACTGAGCCACCCATCCAGGGCAAAAACCTCAAATCTTTCATAAAATAAAAAATATATAAATAACCACATATACATGGGTAGGCACATACAGGCAGATCCCTTTGAATTTTTTTGTTTCTTGTCCCGTTACATGCTACTTGGGAACTACTGTAAAAGTTAGGAAGAATTCTTTCTTATAAAGGTTCAATATTTTAAAACTTGGCTTTCTTAAATTGTCTAGATTGCTTCATCTTTATAAATCAGAGAAAAGGAAATACTATTTGTAATTTGAAAATGAGCAGCAATTGTATCATCTAGCTAGAGAAAGGGCCTACCATTTGTAATAATTGTATTGCTATAACCATTATATGCATAATCACGGCTTGTTGGGTCTAAGCAAAACAAAATCTTAGTTTATTTTTTTTCTCTTTCATCCTTTTAAAATTTTTTTTTAAATTGTGAGAAGTTTCTTCTTTGTCCTACCACAAAAATAACTTATCACCAGGCAATAGACTTTTCTTATCATTTTTAGTTAATAGAGAGTTATAGGATCACTGTAAGCTGCAAATCACAGTTTTAATTGTACAATAAAAACTATCTAGTCACCGTATAAATCTTCCCTCTCGTCTTTGTTCATCTGGTATGAGCTGCATGGAGAACCTGTGGTCCATGGGAAGAAACATGCTTCTTGTCCCTCCCAGGCTGAGTCAAGGCTGGGGGGAGGTGGGGATACCGAGGTTCTTTGATGACGATGCTCTTTCTCGTGGGGTCCTGCACTGGTCCCTGTGTTTGTGCCTCTTAGGATATTGGATAAAGGACTCTTTTTCTCCAGCCATTTCTCCCCATCTGTTAGCCTCTGCTTTTCTGGGGGTTACTCTGTACCAGCTCTTTTTGATGGAGTTCCATCACTCTTCCAAGGCCCTCTTGGACAGGCTTGAGAACAGCTCCGTTCCTACTCTGTCTCACACTTAGAGTGCATCCGGTTCACAGGAAACACTTGCGAGGGCTTTGCATAAACTCTGATGCTCTGGCCAATCCCACCCCAGCCCTGTCTTGGCTATCACAGTCCACGTTAGCTTCCTCAGGCACAAGTCAGAGGGATGTGGGCGAGATAGGTAAAGGGATTAAGCAAAGCAAAGCAAAACAAAAGGAAACTCATAGACTGACACCAGTGTGGTTATTGCCGGAGGAAAAGTGGAGATGGGGGCAGGTAGAAGAGGGTAAAGTGGGGATAAATGGCGATGGAAGGAAGTTTGACTGGGGTGGTGAACACGCAATGCACTACACAGATGTATTATAGAATTGTGCACTTGAAACATATAATTTTATTAACCAATAAATTCAATTAAAAAGGAGTTCTTAAAAAATAAAATTTGGTAACTGTTTAAAAAAAACTAAGTTCTTCAAGTAGTTTCATTGAAGTTGCCTTTGTAGAATGGGGTGCAGAGTGAAGCAACTTAAACCTTTCTGATTTTCTCCAAAGAAAAATTTTCATGACTTCTTTCTCTAAAGAAGAACTTTATAAATGGTGTCTCCTTTCCCTTTGAATACCTACAGCGTGAGAGGCAATGTTTGAATGTTTATCAGTTTGGTGCCTGCTGACAATCTCTTCTAACAGCCTAGGTCAAATGTTTATTTTAACATCTTGAGGTATATCCATCGGTACAGCTAGGATATAGGCTTTCTCACATGTGACTGAGACATGAAATGACTAAACAAGATGAAATGTGATTTCTCTTATTCAGAACCCATAGCTGCCATGGCAGCTCTGTGTATCAGGGGTTCAGTCTTCTCCGTTAGTGTTCGTCTGCCATCCTGAGGGTGCTTCTTCCTCTGCATGATCCAGGGACAACACCATGTCTTCCCTTCATCCACTGGAGAATGGGTGGAGGAGGAGGCATATCTCCACATTTAGCATGGGCCAGGAATTACACACCTCACTTCTGGTCACATTCCAGAATCCAGTGACATGGCAACACCTGGCTGCCACAGGGACTGGGACATGTGGTCTTTATCCTACGCAGCCATGTGGGCCAGCTGAAATTTCCCGCACCGTAGGAAGAGGGGAGAATGCATTTTATGATTCACCCAGCAGCCTCTGCCATCCCATCCAACTAATACTGAGTATTAGCAATTCATTATCACTTTAGAGGACTTGAAGTATCATAACCACATTAGAAGATCTGAAACTACTCATTAATATTTCTTCTTAATTTCACTGATACTATTTTTTAAATTTTATTTTACAGGGAATCCAAGGTCCTATTGGTCCCCCTGGCCCACAAGGACCCCCAGGACAGGGATTACCTGGTTCCAAGGTAACTTTCTCAATGAGAGAGAAGTTTAAAATATCTATCATCTAACTGCTGTTTTCTGGGCAGTGGCCAGGCATTCGGAAGGCAGCAGATGAAATGAACTTAAAAATCAGAGATCTCTACTTAATCTAAAATATTACTGATGTTCTTAGTGGTTTAGAAAATGTAATGTATATTCTTTATGCTCTTGGGAGCTTTTATTTACAGAATCTTTACTTACTGTTTTCTTCATTACTCTTACTTAAGAGATTCTAGCAACTGAAGCCCCAACATGAGTAGCCACTCCCTGTGGCCGCATGCCTCTCTGGACTGACTCATTTTCATTCTCACTGGGAGGTCCAGCCTCTAAAACATTTAGTTAAAGATATGGAGTCAGAAATGACCCAACAAATAAACATTTTCTATAATCTTAGGAATTGAATTATGTGTTAAATTAGAACTATTACTTAGCTCTTGGAGAGAGGTATGCCATCTATTCCTTCATTAGCTGTCCTTAATGTTGCTTCAAAGAATCACTCATCATTGTTAAATAAATAAAATAACTCTCTGAGACGTCTCACCATCAAGCACACTCCTCTGTGATGCCTACGTGAGAAGCAGCTCAGTGGAATGCTGTTACTGCCCTTGAGATTTCTGAGGCACATCTGGGATGATCTGGGCCACATCATCGAATGCTCAGGCTGTTGTCTCTGGCCATGATGCTTCCTTTGATCTTGGCTTCTCATGTGTCAGGGATGGGGGTGGGGGAGGGACTCTGTAAAATCAATTTGTGTATGTTACATAGCTTGTATTTTAAGCCAGGCCATTACACATTTACACATTCCAAATATGGTGGGGGAAATATATATATGTAAATTGAGCACATGAAGCTCAGTTTTCTCTTATTTTGTTGAAATAAAACAGCTCTTAGGAGACTGAAGCAGAAATATGTTATTTTTATTCTGCTGACCTAGTCAAATACCCTTCAAATGCTCTTTCCATTTTAGGGAGAAGTAGGCCAGGTAGGACCTACAGGCCCTAGAGGACCAGTGGGGATCGGAGTACAAGGTCCAAAGGTGAGTCAGCTATGCTGCTCGGAAGCATTTAGATAACTTATGTAATATTATGGAAAGTTTCATTTATGTCCAAATGAAATATGGATCATGCATGTGTCATCTAACTGTTACTTTACCAAAGCTGAGTATTTATTTAGAAAAGGGTCTGATGCTCAGTGTAACTCTTATCGTTTAAGAAAAGCCAAAATCAGTTTATTTTAATGACTGCTGTTTGTTTTTTTATTCCTGAGTTTATTAGCATCAGAGGCCCTCTTTTGGTATAGAGGGATTCTTCAAGAACATTATCACCTGCCATATTATAAAACAAAGCTGCTAGTAGTTAAGATTTCAGTAAAGGTTACTTCCCTTCCTTTATTTTCTGGCTTCCTAAGCAATTTATTCCCTAAATCTAAAGTAAGTCTAGCCCACTTCTGTTACCCAGTAGTTTTATATCTCAGCATGCTGTGTTTTCCTTGCTTTTCCAACTTAAGTCAACTTGAATTTAATTTACATGTTTTTTTGAATTGCACTTGACCCTTGAACAAGGCGGGGCTTAGGGGTGCTGACTCCTTGCCATAACTTTTGAGTCTCCCCAAAATAAGTCACCCCTTGGTATCTGTGAGGGGATTGGTTCCAGGACTCCTGTAGACACCAATTTTTGGAGGCTCAGCTCCCTCACATAAAATGGGGCAGAAGAAGGCATACAGTTGGTTGTCCACATCCATGGAGTTCCAGCCACAGAATTGTTTTGATCCGTGGTTGGTTGAATCTATGGTTGCAAAATCCAGTGATGCAGAGGGCCAACAGTATGTTTATTGAAAAAACTCTGCACCTAAGTGGACCCGTGCAGTTCAAATCCATACTGTTCAAGGTCAACAGTACTTTTCATCTAACTATACCCTCTAGAAAGGCACTCTTCCATACTGCAGTTACTATCCACATGTGGTTACTGAATGCTTAAAATGTGGTTGGTATGAACTGAAATGTCATACAAGTGTAGTAATACACATGCTAGATTACAACGCTTGGTACGAAAAAAGAATATAAAATATATCATTAATACATTTGTACATTGATTAAATATTGAAATGAAAGTATTTCAGATATAGTAAGTAAAACCTATTAGAATTATTGTTACCTATTTCTTTTAACTATAATTGTGGCTGCTAGAAAAAATTATAATTATATATATAGCTTCCTTTATATTTCTATTGTACAATGCTGCTCCATTGGGGCAGGAACCTGGTTTCCTTCTTTTTCTTCTTAATTATTGACTCCCCAGTTTGGGGGACATGATAGGTACTCAATAATGTTGAATATGAGAATGAATCCTTACTTTACCTTTCACAATTTCTATAACTCATCCTGAAAGCATATAGGATCTGGTGAGCCACACTAAGCATTAAACTTCACTACTATTCTCTGCCATTGTCATTGTTCCTAAACATATTTGGTCATTAGAAGAAATTTAATATGTAGGCCCAAGAAGAACAGGCATATTCCGTATATATAAACATATAATTACAGAGGATAAAAAGTGTACTAGTGTAGTAATAATTGCTGCTATTTGTTGAGTGGTTTTGATGTGCTATACAGTGTGCTAAGTACTAAACATGACATATGTCTATACATATATGGAGTGTATATATTTATGCATATGCATGTATGATGTCATATAGGTGCCAATGTCAGAGAGGCGATATTGAGTAGAAATGTTTAGGAGTTAGACTACCTAAGTTCAAATCTCAGTTTTGCCATTAACTAGATGTGCAACCTTAAGCATATCTTACTTTAAAAATAAAATATTTCAAACATGCTACTGTATAGAATAATACAAAGAACACCCAAATACTCCATGACCCATATGGAATACAGTCATAATAAATGTTTTAATGTTCTTATCTGCTAATTCTATCACATGTCATTTTCTGGATCAGTTTCAATCAATTGATTTTTCTCAACACACAGGGCTGCATTTTCCAGCTTTTTTGAATGCCTGATAATTTTTGATTGGATGCCAATCAATGTTGAAGATTATTTATTAATGTTTTCCAACGTATTTTGAAATTGTCATAGAAATTTCCTATTATTTAAAAAATATTTATGATGTATATTTATATCTCTTTAATTCTTAATATTATTTATTTGTGCCTTTTCTTTTAAAATATCAATCATTTCTGCTAGAGGTTTATTTTAGTTTTTTTAAACTTTGTTACTTTTTGTTTTTGAGTTTATTTTTTTTCTTTTCTCATCTTTATTATCTCCTTTTACTTATTTTTAGGTTCACTGTGCTTTTTTTCAGTAGCTTTTTGAGTTTGGGTTAGTTGAAATGACTTTCAATTATCTTTAATATATTTTGCTTGTAATAAATGCAGTAAGGACACTTTTATACTGTTTGAAGGTAGCGTGTGTTTCCTATGAATATATTAAAGAACTTAATTATAAATTAACTCAAAAGCAAGTGAAATTATTGAGTATTAGAGCTGAAAGTGATGCTAGGTTCCACATTTTTTCATGTCAGTTTTATATGAGTTTCTCAGGATTGCTGTGTCAAAGTATCACAAACTGTGTGCTTACTACAGTAGGAATTCATTGTCTCACAGTTCTGGAGACTAGAAATGGAGAATCAATGTGTGTGCAGGGTCATGCTTCCTCCAAAACCCACAGGGAAGAATCCTTCTTGGCCTCATCTTAGCTTCTCATGGCGGCCAATCCTTGGCATTCCTTGGCTTGCAGCTACATCACTCTGATCTTTGCTACTGTTGTCACATGGTGCTCTCCTTATGTGTCTGTCCTCACATGGTGCTTTCTGCCCTTTAAAAGAACTTTGGTCGTATTGGATTAGGGCCCATTCTAATGACCTCATCTTAACTTGATTACATCTGCAAAGACCCTATGTCCAAAAAAGGTCATATTCACAGGTACCAAGGGTTAGGACTTGAACATAAATTTTTGGGATCAATTCCACCCATAACAAACAACATAATCAAAAACTGAGGCTCAGAGAGGTTAAGTAACTTGACCAAGGTCAAATAGTTTAATTACTGTTTAGATTTATCAGCTCAAAGGCTTTTCTTAGACACTATTAAGATATAGCTAATTACAAGTACCTCAAAATGGGGGTGCATGATAAACACGAACTGCTGGAAGTAAAATCTTTTCTCATCCACCAGGGGGCGCCAGGCTCAATAGGGCTCCCAGGACAGCCAGGAGTACCAGGAGAAGATGGAGCTGCAGGAAAGAAGGTAAACAAGTTTTTCATACTACTGGAGTCAAAACAATTGAACAACACTGATACCTTGGTCCTGCAGGACTTCAAATTAAATCATCGAGGGCAAACTTAGTCTTTTAAGAAAAAAAACACACACACAAATCTAAATTTCCTTGTTCACTTACATCAGAGAGAAAGAGAGCACCAATTCAAAGGGTGAAAAGTGTGTCATGCCTCTGCCTTCTCTCTGGTGTTTGGCCATGACATTCTCTAGTGACCCAGTCTTTTTGAGATACCTAGAAAGCACTTTAATTTAAACTTAGAAAGAAAAGACCTTTTTTTTCCCCTCTGAAAAAAAATCTATAAATGCATTCAGAAAATAAAACCATTATAAAGATTTCCTGAAGTATTTTAAGTGGATATGTGAAATACTCATTTTTCAATACAAGTAGTAAAAAACAGCAGATGGAAAGGCTGAAGTTCTTATTAAAAAAAAAAAATCAAACACCCAAAAATGAATGATGAAGGAAATGAGCCAAAGGAAATTATGCTTATTGCTTTGGAAATTGGCTGAGAAAACAGACTTTTTCAGATTTCAGCTGCTCTGAGCTAAACTAGAGTTTGCTATTAACTTATTCATGTTGACAAACTTCCAAACTAATTTTAAGAATAGATTTAAGGTCTGGTGTGTTTTGGAGAGTCTCAGCAGAGAATCTGCTGGCTGGGAGAAGAGACAAGGTGGCTGATGTACAGGGTGGCACAAATAATGCCTTTTTTTATTACAGACACTTTTATTACAAAATCATAAGCATGTAATTCTGTAACAACAATACTACACTCAAGCACACCACATGAAAGTTTAGGTGAAATGTTCAAATTAAAACTGTAAACTATTACTCCTATGTATTACCCTAGCAACCACACTCAAGCAGGCCTTACTTTAGCCACACGCTGTATTCTGCCTATGGAGCGTCAGCTAATCCATCAATGTCATTTTCTTAAGGGAGAAGCAGGGCTTCCAGGAGCAAGAGGCCCAGAAGGACCACCTGGAAAAGGACAACCTGGCTCCAAGGTATGGAATTGACAGTGCTGGGGGAAGCAGACTGCCTGTGTTGGCGTCCTGCTACTAAGGAGCCAACTTGGGAAGAATTTGACTGTTATTCTTACTATGTCAAATGTGTTTACTTCTGGCTCAAAGTTATGGATACTAGCTTGTGAGCTACAGAAGAAAGCAAGTATGTTACTATTCATTTTTATGTCCTAACATCTATTAGAACAACCAGCTTATACAAAGAGTTCAACATGTTCTTCTTAATAGCCAGACTGATGTTTAAAAAAACATATAGGAAGAGAAAAGAAGCCTTGAAATACATCCCTGAGACTTGAAAGTCCATAAATTTTCTTTAAGTATTTCTGGAATTCCACACAGTAATAAGAAATATCACCTTATTAAGTGGCAATTTTACTTCCACAACTTGGAATAAATTTGTTTTATATACATTGTAGAAATGCTAATGAATACCATCTTAATATGTCTAGATGAGAATATCCAAATTCATTTATCAGACCATTAGTGATGTAACCCACAGCCTCTAAAGTGCCAGATGTTCTTGTATTTTTTACTGTCTTTATCAATGAGCTATAAAGATTCTGAAAAAGTCTCTATGAGGAAAGTAAAAATAAAATCTGTATACAATTGTGTTAAAATAGTCATTGACAGCTTAGGACGTCTATGTTCTTGAAAAACATTGGCTAAAATTGAGTCCTTAACCTTAAATGTGACAATTTGAAATTTAAGTGTATTTATAGAATTTCAAACAATTTTATTTATTGACTCACCAGATTATGAGATCCTTGGGAGGCAGGGAGCAAGGAATATAGACAGAGAATATCTTTTTAACATCATGCAAAAATACTTATAGAAATGCTTGCCTGTTAACATTCAGGAGGACTGACGTATTCTAGAGTATGCTTTTGGAAACTAGACCCTTGAGGTCATAACTGAGGCTGGAAGAATGAATGATATCTCTGAGAAACAGAGCTGAGGTTTGAATTTCGAGTTGCACAGTTGCTAGAGAAAGAACATTAAAAATAGTACAAAGATAAGCACAGTAGTTAGCATGTTAGGAAAACCAAAGAGAAAGCATTTCAAAGGGTGTCACATGCCACCACTGAAGCAGGGACAATGTTCATTGAAAAGAGAGACCACTGGATTTGTGGCTTCAAGGTGACTTGTGGCTTTGGAAGGATATTATAGGAGAAGAGGGGTAGGAATATATTACATAGCCCAGTGTCTCCTTACAGTTCAGTGTTGGCACTTTATTATTTAGTTGGGCTGCTGTTTTTGTCTTCTGGGGTGATTTAGGTCAATAAATTAAATTTGGTAGTGAATGGAAGAAAATGAATACTTTTGGTTAGATTTTATCTCTATTGGGAAGTTATGATACAGTAAGTGATAGTTAGACATTCGATTGCTGCGTTCTTTTATTACCTGTGTCCATGCTCTCCCTTAGCAGGGACCTTGAGGAGTTGATTACAACTGTGTAGATCCTACAGGAGGTCACCTCTTCTTCTTAGAGGTGTTTCTGCATTGCTGATGACCGTGGTATATAAATACAGTCCAGCGGTTCTCAAGGGGTGCTCCCTGGACCAGCAGCCTCAGCATCACCTGGGAACAAGTCACATAGGTGAATTCTTGTGTCCCAGTGCAAATCTATTAAATCAGAAACTCTGGATGCAGGACCCAAGGACCTATGGCGAGCAAGACCTCCTGGGGATTTCTGATGCGTGCTCAGCTTTGAAAACTGTGGCACAGTCACTCACCTCATGAATGTTTAAGTGGTCTCAGTTGCAAAGCCCAAGGAGGTATTCTTTCGTGGAGCTGGGCCCACACTGGGATGTGGTGCCTTGCAGTTGAGCCCTAGTTTAATAGTTTTGTAACACTCGGAGGCTTCTGGGTGAAGCGAAAACAGTCCTCTTGGAGGAGCATTTGTGCAAACGGCCAGGATGGGGAATAGTTTCTAGCTCTGCACCAGGTTAATGCTCACCTATCTTTCACCGAAAGAATGACCGATTTCCTGCGGGAGAAAGAACTAGACTCTCCACTGAGGAAGAAATGGGGCTGGATTTGAAAAATATTTTAATGTTTTAAAACTGAAGTAGCATGAAAGCTGAAAAACACCAAGGAAAAGCATAGATAAATCTCTTTGGTGGTACTGTGACTGTCTTAGAATGATCTGTTAATAGACAAAGAGTGCGCGAGAATTGTAAATTCAAATAAAAGTCCCCAGAGAAAGATAGTGAACTTAGATTTTTAAAAATATTAAATCATATTGATTCTGAAGTACCCGATCTGCTCAAGAACCTTGACGAACCCTGTATAACTGAGCTGGGCTTGGGGCATATCACTTTAAAATCGGTGTTAGTCGAGAGTGTGGCCCTGATATGATGGTTATATGATTGAGGAGGGTTTGTTAAGACAACAACTATATTTTTATAATTTTTTGCCAGGGTGATGAAGGAAAGAAAGGGAGCAAAGGAAATCAAGGGCAGAGGGGATTTCCAGGGCCCGAAGGACCAAAGGTAAGGTTGTTATACTCTCATTTTTGCTCTGGGGAGATTGTAATTATATCTGGTTTTAATAGAATATTAGATTTCTACTGCAAATTTGATTTCCCACTTTCTTCTGAACAAATACAAAACAAAACCCCAAAATGAAAAAGGCTTTAGAAAATATATTAAGCCAGACCATTATAGAATAAAATTAGAAGGTTGCATAAAATATATACTCTTCACTGGAATATTTATGCTTCTAAGAGGATCGGTATGTCAGTTCTCTCTAGGATACAGTTAGGACAATAGGAGACACCAATCCCCTATCACCTAGTTTTTCTGAGCAACTTATGAAGTGCCAGGCTGTGAGGCAGATGAAGAGGCAGGCTGTGAGGGAGCCACAGAAGGCCAGAGAGGGGGATTCTCATCCTGCTCCCTCCCGGAACCTTCTGGAGCCAGTTGTTTCAATCACAGAAAGAAAATAATACTAGTATCTACTTCACAGGGTTGTTGGGAAAAGTAAAACAGTTAATAAAATGCTTAGCACAGGTTCTGGCACATAGTAGAAGTTCAATACATGGAGTTATTCAGAGAAAATATAGAAATGAGAAGTAGGGGACCCATGTCCTGATACACTGTTGAGGACAGAGAGCTGAGGAAGAAGTTAAGGGCACTGTGAGGCAGGCGATTCGGTACATGTCCCGACTTAGGAGGAGAGAATATTGAAGTTATTTGGATGTGTCAGGAGACAGAAATGTGTAAACCTAAGGGTGTTCATGCTCTAGGAAGATACTAATTGTAAAGAGACCAAGACAAGACTATTAAAGGACAACTTGAAAAAATGGTCCTGGCATGATGAGAGCAGGTACCGAACAGAGCATCCCCTGTAGACCAGTGATTATGAAACATCAGTGTCCTTCAGTGTCCCCCAGGGAGCGCATTACAAATCCCTGGGTCTTGGCACCATGCCCAGAGATTTGGCCGCCAGAGATCTGGGTACCGGGCATCTGATTTTCTTCAATCGGTGCCTTCTGCTGCAGGTAGTTCAAGGAGCACATGATGAGAAATCCCACTTAATAAAAAATGTGCTGTATTACTATTAATAACAGTGATTATATCTTACTCACTCTTATTTAAAGTGGGTATTTTTCTGTATTTTGAAATAAAGCTTTTTTTTTTTTAAATGAAGAACTGCTATATTTGAAAGCGTAGTAACACCTTAATACAGGATCTTTAAAAAATTGTATTCGTTCTATGTCTGTAACTTTATATTTTAAAAGTACAGTAATTGGCCTCTTTAAGAAAAGGTAGAGTAGATTAAATCTAGAAGCATAATTTTGCTTACCCTGGACTTTGTGAACAATTTAACAGGTTAATGTTTTATTCCTTTGTCATAGGACCGAATGGGGTGGTTATTTTTTACCAGAACCCTGGTTTGTCATGTGTCATTGACTCACAGGTTTGAAACTAAGGACTGGCACATCTATGCATTGGCGTGTTCTGGGCCCTGGTAGGCCGTTGCGCTCAGCCTGTCCGCCATATCGGAGACTCGGCAGGGGCGGGGGGCCTCAGGTGGGAAGTGACCGTGGCTCAGGGGAGGAGTCATCACCTGCGATTCTCCCAAAGGAGGCAGGAGATCAAATGGGCAGCTCCTGATACTAAGAACAGTTCATTCTTTAAGGCAGGAGGAGGCACGTTTTTTGGTAAAGGTACAGGTAGTAAATATTTTAGGCTTTGCGGTTCAAGAGGCAAAATTGGGGATAGTATGTACGTACTTATATAACAATCATTTAAAAATGTGAAAGCCATTTCTAGCCCTTGGCTGTGCAAAACCAGATGGCAGGTTGGATTTGGCCCACAGGTAGCAGTGTGCTGCACCTGTTCTAGATAAGTAGTTTCTGTTCGATGACGAATCTCTAATAGTAAAAAAAAATGTTGGCCCCACTCCAATGTATGTGTGTTCATTTATTTAGTTTTTAATTGTAATTTTTATTGAGAAACTATCATATTAATGTTATAAGCTTTATCTAAATAGTTGAAAATTTAAAAGATGAGATAAAAATAGATAGTGTAGCCCTGATATTTTCTTTTAACAATGCCAAATGGGTCAATTTAAACACCTTGTAGGGTGTGTGCACCCTGTGCCTATATCACAATCACCAGAGGTGCCTCATAAAAATTCATATTCCTTGGCCTAGCCCCTCCATCTACTGAATTAAAATTTCTGGAACTGACCCTCAACAGATGACTGAATAAAGAAGATGTCGGCCCTGGCCCCGTGGCTCAGCTGGTTGCAGTGTCATCGGTGCACCAGGGGGTTAGAGGCTTGGTTCCTGGTCAGGGCGCATGCCTGAGTTGTGGGTTTGATCGTCCGTCAGGGCATGTGCAGGAAGCAATCGATCAATGTTTCTCACATCCATGTCTCTCTCTCTCTCCTTTCCTCTCTAAAATCCATAAACATATCCTTGGGTGAGGATTTAAAAAATGAGAATAAAAGCTTAATTTAAAAACAAACAAACAAAAAAGATGTGGTACATATTATGCAATGGAATATTACTCAGCCATAAAAAAAGAATGAAATCTTAGCATTTTGGACAAACATTTCCCTCTGAGCTTCCTGGCATATGACGCAAGGGAAGCACCATGAATTGCATAATGTTTATTAGCTAATAAAAGGATGCACAAGAGATAAAATTTTTCTAATACTCAGGAATTAACTGAGTTCCTTTATTAGAGGCACTGAAATCTTAATCATCAATAACTTTAGTAGTGGTTTAACAAAGATGCTAAAATGTTTTCACATTGGACCATGAAACAGACAGGTCATAATATTTTAAAATGCTGAAACACATTTCTATGGTTTTCCTAATATAATTCCTGTATATATATATATATATATATATATATATATATATATATATTTATTTTTGGTTTGAAATGTAATGAGTATTTTGCTTTGCTTTTAGGGTGAACCAGGGGTTATGGGCCCTTTTGGGCTTCCTGGAACATCAATTCCTGGACCACCTGGGCCAAAGGTGTGCATTCTTAGGGATACTTTCTTCTTTCTCTTCGATAGTGGGTGGGTGGGGGGTATGGAAATTCATGATGCCAGTCTACTAGAATTTTAATTTTGGAAGAACACCAAGATATTATCTAGTTCAACCTTGATGGAACACAATTAAGCAAACTAAAGACCAGCCACAAACATAAGATTAGAAAACAGATTCTTGCTCCTGATCTTCAACTTGTCATTTCACCTTGAATTACCTCCCACAAATCGTAGACCTTAATGCACGTAAGAATTTATTGCATTCATTCAGAAGAATTTGCTAAGATTTATAATCAGAAAGTGTGACAGAAAAGAAATTCACTCCGATTTGAGACCATTCCCAGACCTTCTTCCAGTCTACACATTTGAGTCCAGATAGCCACTGCTAGTCCTCAGAGTCCTTTCTCTAACTGGTTTGGTAGACATTACTGACAGGTCTTATTTACTTAGGGTTTGAAATTCATCTGAAGTACATTAGAAGAATGTACTCTATCAAGATCTGAGCCTGACAGATTAAGTCCTTTACAAACTGGCCAATCACTTTTGTCCCCTGCCATTGTGGTTTCTCATGCAACCTAAAGTCTGAAACTCTGAACATTATTTGAAATGTACAGGGAGACAGAGGAGGTCCTGGAATACCTGGACTTAAAGGAGAACCTGGCATTGCTATTCAAGGACCAAAGGTATGCTTTACTCATGTTCTTTTATTTATATTTTTCTGTATGTGAGAGAATGAAAGTAGATTGAATGCATAGTCAGTTGATGACTGAGATAGTTCTACTTCCAGCATCTATGTTGATGAACTCAAATGTAAGAATACACTATACCCTTAAAGAAAATCAAGCCAACAGATCATTAATTTTTCATAAACGGTTAAATTTTTGCTGACTAAACAGTTGTTTAAAAATGTTCTTTTTGTAATATCTGTGATATGAGATTATATGGCCTCCAGCCTTTTTCATTTACATATTAATGGCCAATGTATCTCTTCTGCAAAACATTGCCCCAAAAAAAGTTCACATTTGGAAGCTTTATTGAATCAAATTTCTATGCATTGTTATCCATCTTTCAGAGTTATTTTAAATTAAAATGCAAATAATTATAGGAAAAGACAGCTTTAAGTAGTCATTTCTATTTTTCCATGGCAACAAAGCACCATTTCCCTCACACGACACCCAGCATTGCAGCAATATTTAACATCGCAAATGTCAACAAGCACATCGCTGTGTAGAGAACAGGCTTCATGGCTGCATAATCAGCACTTAGTAAATTAGTAGCATGTTGTTACATAGCTTTGAAGGTGGCTTCAGTTCTATCACATTGTCTCTTCTAGATAAAAGTGTTCATGTAGTAACATCAATGATTTTCAAACTTCAAAAAAGAAAACTTAAAATCATCTTTGAAATATAATGCAAAACCTTTTACCTACTGATATAAGTTGTAGGAGTCCTTTTTGAAGGCCAAAGGAGCATCCTGACCATCACTGTTCTTAATCACTTTGCCATCCTTGCTAGAGTGACAGTCTTCTTGTTTACTGGGGACAGAGGTGGTTCAAGCTGAAACAGAGAAAGTCCTAGACAAACCAGAACAAGATGATAACGTTACTCCTCAGACTTTGAAGTGCTTGGGAACCTAAGTTATGTACAACTCAAGGAGAAAATTCCAAATTCCCTAATGCTAAAACTATAGAAATAACCTTGATCAAGAATATTTGGGTGACAATTTTCATATTGTTTGCTAACTTCTTGGATCTGTGTATTCCTAGGTTTATGCTTTATAGTTACTTGTCTCTACTTATAGTATTCCTTACAATAGAAATAAAATCTAATTAAACATGCAGCTAGTATTTATAAGCCCTACCTTTTTTCTACTGACCATCATTGGACATTATTGGTGGTATATTTGAAGTTATTTGCCTCTTCACTCCTCTTGCTAAGCTCTTGGCCTCTAAAGATGTTCTTTCTGTCATTCTTTCCTAATGCATATTTTTTGTCCTCACCCCAGTACATTTTGTCATTGCCTTTAGAGAGAGAGGACGGGAGAGAGTGAAACATCCATGTGAGAGAGAAACAGATTGGCTACTTTCCCTGTACGCCCAGACCAGGGACTGAACCCACCATCTAGGCACGAGCACTGACTGGGAATCCAACCTGCGACCTTTTGGTTACAGGATGACACTCCAGTCAACTGACCCATCCTGGCCAGGGCGAATCCATTGATTTTTAAGCTTTTGGGGGACTAAATGCCTGATAGACATTTTAGCACATTAATTCGGTTTTTCTGTATCAGGGAAGTCCCAGATCCCCCCTAAAGCCCATTTCAAAACATCAGATTAAGATTTCTGCCCTAATTTATATTGAATGAGAGACAGATTTTCTTGAATCCAGTGCAGAGAGGCCAGGTGGCAAAATTCCATCTAAAAATACACTGCGAAGAGTCCAAAATAAAAATCTGAGAAAGAATCCTTCCTTTATTCCCATCTCCTGATACTCCTATTAAGATTAGAAGTAGCAAACTAGCTACAGTTTTTTTTTCAGGAGAGAGGACAAATTTCTCTAGGAAAAAAGTGTGTGTAAACTATTAAAACTCTGTTTTAATGGCACGCACAGTGGGTGCCAGAGGATAAATGACAACAGCTGCTGATAATTTGTTATAGGCTTGGAACTTATAACTAAAAACTGAAAGTGAATTTTTATTCCAATTTTCTTACAACTTAACCAGGCAGCAGTCACTGCTGTGTTTTGCATTGGCTCCCTGTGTAAGCATGGAGAGAAACGGATATCTTATTTCGGGACGTATCCCATATGGATGTGTAAAGCATTAACCTTGATGTAATTGGAATAGAATAATAAATTGCTTCCGAGAAGTGACCAGTTTCCTATAGCTGGAGATATACCAAACCCCACCTCTCCAGAGGACCTTGCTTTGCTCTCCATCATACAATTTTACGCAGTCGTCTTGGAGCTTTGTTGATGATAGATAGTAAATTAAGTTTAATAAGTCACCACTGTGTTCTGAAGATGACCATTCTTTAAAAGGTTAATCATATAGAAAACATCTCTTAAATTTAATAGGAAAAAAACAGTTGTTGTACTCATGGTTTTCAAAACAAATTTAACTTTCTTACTGCTTAAGGGTATACAGATTTTTCCCCCCTCCAATCAATCATCCTTTCATAGGAGGAGAGTTGGGAACATTTTTGGGAGTTCAATTTTAAGCAACATTTTGGCTTGGAATAATGGCAATTTGATTTCAGTGTTTGCTTGCATATAAAAGTATTGAGAGTCCTGCTACTGTTTCCAATCTTGGAAAACAAAGGTCTATTAGTAGAGTTTCTTTCTAATGTAAAAACCATAAATATTTAAAAACATGAAGAGCTCTTTATCAAAATAATTGATGTGTATTGACAAGGACCATTGCAACAATTATCATAGTAACAGAATGGAATGTGGTATAAAAGGAATATTACAAGTTTTAAATACAAGTGCAATAGACTTACACTAAATAAATCTTCTAGAAGTCTTACTCATTTTTCTTTCTCTCCACTTTACTTTAACGAAAATTTCTTTAATTTCCACCTGTAGAGAGTTACAGATCTTAAAAAAACTATTGTTTCAAAAGCAATAATCACTCTCTTCTATCCTCTATATAGGAGGCCAGTAGTTATTACTAAAAGTTTTTGATGCCTAAGGTTATCACTATAAAGCAATATTTATAACTTTTTCCCAGTTCTCAAGATATAAACCATAAACTCTGTGTCTTATCCCCTTATAACTTTTTACAAAATTATTTTCAATATTTTATTTGGGATTATTTAGTCACCACATGCCTTGGGCCCCATTGAAGAAGACAACCGAGGTAACACAATAATAGGTAACATACATTTATTTTACTGTACACTTACAATTTTGTTATGTATGGAGGGGTCCCAAAACAACCTGGAATTTATTTATTAAAAATTGTGTATTTATTCGTACATATTTAAACTTCAGTCACTTTCAAAGTACTGTCCATTTGATGGAACACACCTATCAAGAGGTTTTGTCCGCTGCCCAAAACAGTTTTTGAACTTGTCAATTTTGATGCCTTTTAGCGCTTCTTCCATTTTTTGTTTCCCCTCTTCCACGCTTTCAAAACATTTCCCTTTGAGGCTTCTTTCATGGGAGAAACAAACAAGTCTCTCGGGGTGAGAGCAGGTGAACAGGGAGGGTGGGGCACCGGGGTCATGCTGCTTTTGGTCAAAAGCCACTGGGCAGGTGCACTTGTAAATCACCTCTCATGAAATGGGCAAACACATCGAGTCTTCAAGAAAAAAACAAAACAAAAACCTCACTGACACCAAACGCAGCCTCTCACAACAACGCCAGCTGGTGCACTGACACAGATGGGTTCCTAGAGCACTCGCCGAGCAGGGGAAGCCTGTGCTACGAGGGACCTGTCCTCCAGAAGATAATTCCATTTTTTGGAGTGGGTCCCCCTGCATATTCTTTTCTACTCTTTTTTTTTCATGTGGTGCTTACTAAATTTTCTCGTTTTTATACTTTTCCTTGATTTATATTTCATAAAAATCCGCCATTTTAAAAATGAAAACATCAGCAACCAGTCATCCTCTGATCCCTATAAAGAGTGTGTCCTATAGAGCACTCGGCAATGGTTCACATACATTCCCTACATGCGTCCCACGGCTCCCACTGCACAAACGGATGAGACTTAGGAAGAGCTAACGAGATACCATTTGTGGTAGGGTTTTCTTCTAAAAATTTTTAATTCTTTCCTTTGTACTTACTAAATCCACCTTTGGCATATTGGGTTGGTATTGTGCGTACGTTTTGCCAGGTGTTTCACAGTGTTGTCCTACGACATCACCTGCTGTTGCGTTTACCCAGGGTGCCCAAGGCCCTCAGGGACCAGTGGGTGCTCCAGGACTCAAAGGCGATGGCTACCCTGGTGTGGCTGTAAGTTTGGAAATTGCTTTTTTTTAAATTTATTTTCACTGTATTTTTTCCATTACCATTTACCTGCTTATATCCCCCTCCCCCCGCAATCACTACACTTGTCCATGTCCGTGAGCCCTTTTTCCTTTTTGTTCGATCCCTCCACTCCCTAACCATACCCCCAATAGTTGTATTTCTTTCCTTCTTACTGAACTCCGTTCATTTTTCCTTCTCCCCGCCCTCCTTCTACCTTCCCTTCCTCCCTTCCTCTTTCTTCCTTTCTTCTTTCTTTCTCTCTTTCTTTTCCTCCCTCCCTCCCTCCCTCTCTCTTTTTCTCCCTTCCTTCCTTCCTTCCTTCCTTCCTTCCTTCCTTCCTTCCTTCCTTCCTTCCTTCCTTCCTTCCTTCCTTCCTTCCTTCCTCATGGACACTGCAACACAACAAAGTTGCTCACTCTCTCCCTTATTATGTCATCTAGGGACCACGAGGGTTACCAGGACCCCCTGGACCAATAGGCTTGCGTGGAGTGGGGGACACTGGAGCAAAGGTAAGATTTTAAAGTAGGTAACATAATAGCTTCTAAAAATGTACCTATAGGTAGGTGATTTTCGTAAAGTTTTATCAGGCATTGTAGAAGAGTGAAGATAGCTAAAGAATTGATGAAGTTATTTATCCTCCTCTCTGGGCTTCCTGGGGCTCCTGCGCTAATTTGAGCGTGTAGCTTACCTTTATGGTTTTCGTCTTGCTTTCCTTGTGGCATCTTGGCTGCTTTGTCTTCTGGTACCAAGATCGGAGTCTGGTTCAGAGCCCTCCTCTCTTTCCCAGGTGCTCTTTTCCTGTCCCATGGCCTTAACCACTATCCATGTGCTAATGGCATCCACATTTCTATCTTCCCTCCTGCATCTTGTTTCTTCCACACGGGGCCTCCTAGATGCCTCACGGACATCTCTAACCTCACAGCCAAAATAGAACCTTTGATTTTCACCCCATAAGCCTGTAAATGGCACTACCATGCACTCAATGCTCAAGCCAGGATACCTGGGTAATTCTTGGTCTCTTTCTTTTCCTCCCTCCACACTGAATACTATGATAAATCCTGACAGTTCTACCTTCAAAATATATCTTGACTCTGCCTGGTTTTCTCCTGCTGCTTCCACCAGGGAAATCCACCATCATCTCTTGCTATTAAAATAGTCCAGGCTATTAAAATAGCCTTTTTACTTGTCTTCCCTCTTCTACCTCTGCCCTTCTATGTTACCTAGTAGGCAGAGGGGTCTTTTACAGCCACAAGTCATCATATCCCTTTCCTTCTCGAAAATAAAAACAACACTCTGCTGTCTTCTTTTTGTGCTGAGAACAAGCTTATACCGCTTTCCATACCTATGAGGCCCTTTACAACCCGACTATGGCTCCTGCCCCTTCCTCTCTTGCTGCTGCCTGCCCCCCTCCCCTGGGAAGCCACACTGGCTTACACTACACATTACTTCAGCTCATTCCTGCTCCCAGGCCACGGTTCTGTCAGGATGGCGCACCTCCTTGACCGCCCATGCAAAGACAGTTCTCCCTGACTCCTCTCCCTCCCCCATCCTTGCTATCACATCCCCTTGTATATTTCCTACATGGGACCACTATCACTTTCTGAAATCACCTTGTTCATTTCCTGCCTTGAATATTCCACAAGGGTGACTTTTCCTGCAGGCAGGCTCTTTGTCTTGTTCTCTGCTAAATCCCCGGCTCCAGAACTAGGTGTGCCACCCTACAGGAGCTTCGTAACATGTGGAATGACTGGCAAATGAACAACTGATCAATAGTACCCTAACGAGAACATTTTTCCTTAGAAATACATCCATTCAGTTTTTCAAATGTGTCCAGGTTACTAAAGAGAGATGTTGGAAGTGCTCAAGGTCAACTTTTCGTCTTTTTTGGGGCTCTGCCCCATCACGTAGGAGTATGAGGACGCCTTGATATTGCTTCTGTCTAATGAATGGGGCAGGTGTTCTTTTGTCCTCTCCTGGTAGAATGAAATATTGAAGACCCATGGCACTGAGTGTCATCTCCGAAGGAGATCTCAATTCCTGCCCCACCTCTGTCTGTCAAGGTGGCCGCGAGAACCGGGTACAGGAAGTGTCTCAAAGTGCTGGGTGAGCTGTGCAGAGACACACCTGAGGTGCTTTTATCAAGGTTCTGGCTTGGTCAGACTAAGGACTGAAGCTAATCCTCTAACACACCGCAGCATGTCGATAACCATACTCGACTCAGGGATTGCAGTGCCCTTTATTCTTTAAGGCAACCTATCTCTCCAATGTTAAATTTTAAAAGTAGAAAGAAATTTCAATATGTAAATCTCATTAATTTCTGCTCTGAGTGAAACATTAGTAAAAACTTTTGTTATTCACACTATATATTTCTTTAGAGAAATAGAAACTTATTTCTTTTTAAAATAAGGCATGATATAAAATGTGTTAAATATATACTGTAATATACTTGTATTCCAATGGAACAGTGTGGTCATTTACATTTTTAGAGTAGATTATTATAAATATTTTATATAAGTATATATTGTATTATATTAATTATACTATTATGTTACTGTCTTACAGTGAGCAATAATAATGACAGGAACTTAGACACAGATAGAGAATATTTAAAAATTTGATTTTTGTGAATATTCACTATATCAGATTATTTAACATATAGACTTAAACATTTACTAAATTATTTCATATACTGTTTCTCTCAAAGTCTCTTGTATTTGTTTTCATATACATGTTTTTTAGACAGAGAAATGGAGGAGAAGACAGAGAAAGAGAGACAGACAGACAGAGAGATCAATTTGTCATTCCACTTATTTATACATCATTGGTTGCTTCTTGTATGTGCCCTGATGAGGAATTGAACCTGCAACCTTGGCATATCAGGACGACACTCTAACCAACTGAACTACCTACCCAGTCATGGCTCAAAACCATTTTAAGGGGAATAATCTAGGAAAACAAGTGTTCTTTCTAAATTTTATCTTTTCTTCTTTTCTCTTTTCTTTTTTTCTTTTTTCTTTTTTTTTTTTTTTTTTTTTGGTAACAGTCAACATATTGCCAGAAGTTGTATCTTAAGTGAAACATATTATCCCTGTTAGCACCCTTGGCAGGCGGAGCAGAGGCAGCAGCCCAGAGCTCAGCTCTAGCTGGTGGGAGAAGGGAACATTCGTTAGGACCTGCCTCTGTGGGCCCACCTCCCTCTCAGCGGCCATTTCCTTCTCTCCGCTGCCTCTTTCTGTAGGAGTTGGGAAAGCAGTTGTTATCCTGGGTATCACCGGCCCTGCAGGAAGATGTTAGGAGGGTGAACTAGTATTAGAATCAAAGACACTAGATCATAAATTTAAAAATTAAGAAAATTTTAAAAAGCAAACATCAGCTTTTCATAACTCAAAATCATCTATCCTCTTTTAAAGAAGACTTAAACTCTCTGTGGGACCTTTTTTATTTTTTTCCTAAAGAAAACTTGGACACACAGAAAAACTTGTAAAGAAAGGAAAATATTCAGAGAAGTCGATTGGCAGAGTTAAGGTGAAACTCTCAAAATGCCTGAAGTTGTCAATGGTAGCAAAAGTCCAGGACTTCAATGGGCGCAAAATTCCTTCTCCTTCCATTTTGACTTTTAAAGTGGCAGAGAAGTTATGTGTATAGTTGTACAGACATATACGTAACATGATACGGTTTTCATTTAAATTCTGTGTAGTCACCTTAAAATATTGGCCTTAGGGCCTTTACTTATAAAACAAATGCATTTTGAAATGAGGAAACCATTAAGGTTGACGATTAATTTATAGTGGGCTTTTGTGATATTTAGTTAAGATCACATGTGTTTAGCACATGACACAGACATTTGAATCAAAGCTTCTGTGTTTCAAAACACATAAAAACCAGTCCCCGACATCTTGCACCCTTGTGGTGCTCTGTGGCTTTTTTCCAAGTGAAAAAATTCCATATGACATCAGTGGTTATGTGGTACTTCTATATCCATTACCTTGAATTGAATCCAAATTTTGACAAGGGCTTCTGAGAGATTTCTAAAATTTTTCTAAGAACTACAATGTTTAAGGAAATAGTAGAATTTAAAATCTGCTTTGGAAATGTGCCCTGAAGAGGAACAGACAATCTGGTTTCTTGCTAAGTGGAAAGTGCTCAGCCAGCCCCATGACCTCTGGATTGAAACACCCCGCTCATTGATAGGGAAGGCAGTTCCAAAGATGCTACCTAATGCTGCCTGCATTTCTCTGTGGGACTGGAGTCTGGGAGGACCCTTTGTGATTCGAGGACAATCATTACATAAAACTCATTTTCCTTTGAGAAGCTCAGACAACCCTTTGTTCCTGTATTTTCGCTGCCAAAGGCTGGCGAGGGGGAGCACATCACCCCGGGGGTGCTGCACAGACGGTGCTGAGGGTGGGAGTTTGTTCCTGGATGCTTAGAAGAGGACTCTATACCTGGAATGGCTCCCTTGAGCTCCATAAAGGCAGATGCATCCTCCCCTGTTCCTCTCTGGGCTCTTTGAGCCCCCTTCAGTGTGCTAGTTCCTCACAGAGAAAGCCATGGCCTCCCCCAAGCTTTGGAGCCATTGAGCTCAGCCAGATTTTGCACAGAGGAGATCAAACCAGGACGTGGAGCCCTCAAGAGACCTCTTCACCATCAAGTGGTTGGAATAAGGTCTGTGGGCAGAAAAACTCATTGGGTTGTTATTGGTACTATTATTGTATATTACCTTGATATTATATATTATGTCCTATCTAAATATTTCCAGAATACTGTGACATTTTAAAACAACCCCCTTATTTTATAGATGAGGAAATCAAAACCCATAAAGTTTGAACAACTTGCCCCTTTAGACACAGTTTTGATACTATCTCGTGTTTGCATGTGAGAGGGAGACTGTGAATGTGGATGAATGAATGAGAGACTAGGTGGATGAAGAAATCAGAGCAGAGAGAATGGGTTGGCCTGATCTGCAGAGGCTCAGTCTCCAGGGCTTGCCACCTTCTGACTATCACGGCACCGTTTAGTACACAGTTGGATTGTTTCTCTTTCCATCTTGCTTTTCTATTGTCATGACTTAAAGTATGTAAACATTAAAGAGAAGCATAAACCTATACCCCAAAGAGTTAAACATTTTTCGAAAGCTTTAAATACTTGAATATTGTAAATACATGCTTTAATTTCACAAACGTGGTCCACTGTCATAAATTAAAATGCAAGTGTATGTAAAATTCCACTGAGTATCATTATTCTAAAAATGTTCCCAGCATCTGAATTGCCCCTCTGTTCTCTGCAATGGCTCACATATGTGCATACCACCAAGAGGCAGCCGCGGAACAGAGGCGCGATTCACACAGAGATGCATTAGGAATTTGTAGATTCCATCCGCAGACGTGAACTGGACGAGGAACTCCATTTTGAACAGTGTCCAGCAAGGAGGGCTAGACCAGGACACAGCTTCATAACAGTGAAGTTAAAGGGTCCATGATTCCAGACTGGAGTTGAAGAAACCCACCTC